TTTTACCTTGTTTATTGGGCGGGCTTTTTGTTTTTTTTTGCGTTTTCATCCCCATAAGACGGTCGCAGCAATGCCGGAAAATACCAAAAATATTCCCATCATAACAGAACCCCCCCCATTTTACATATATTATATGAAAAGGGAAAAAAAAGAGAGAGGCTGAATTTTTTCTTTTTCTTCTCCGCTCTCTTTTTTCTCCTGGAGTTTCGATTTCACCCTAACACTTTTTCCTAACATTCCCCTCTTTCCTGTTTTATATCTTTTTTATCTTTTTATTATTAAACTGGAAAAATAGGGCTTTCTTGTTTTCCTTACCCTTTTCACTTTTTTATTTTCTCTGCGCGAACCGAAGGTACGGGATTATGGGTATTAACGGTATGATACTTGGGTGGGTGGTTTTTCCGCATAGCGTGGTTTCTTTCGATTTTTTGTTATCAACATCCTCCTGTATTTCAACTTTTTACCCTATTTAGCGAGCGAGCAAAGCGTTGTTTTTCCTTTCCTTTCTTTTTCCCCCTCTTTTCTGCACAGTTGAGTAACTGGTATTTCTTTTCTGTGTCGATCAGGGTGGTCTTTATGTATTTAGCTAGTGTAGTTTTTGTATGAATTGTACGCTGACATTGGGGGAATCTTGGTGTTGCATCTGCTCTTTCTCCTCCTCCAAAAGAGGAGGAGGTTGTCCGCATGACTACTTACTGGTTATCGTACGTATAGGATAGTGGAGTGCCCGCTGGGGGGGCCTTACATACAGACAGATGGGAAGACATGACAGATACCGCGCGTGAAGGGAGGGGGGGGGATGGGAGGGGGTGTTTTTTTGCTTCCCCACTTTCTCTACCCTCTCGTGATCTCATCTGAACCTTTATGCGTGAGTGAGCTCACTAACTCACTCACTTCAGCCTGGAGAGGCGGGGATAGCGGGCGAACTGGAGGAGGGGGGTTCAACCCCCAACCTCGTGATTTTATTTTTTCCCTTTTTCCCCCAAAGAGAAAGAGGGGGCTCTTCCTTCTCTCCTAGTACTGGTATTGGCTCGCCCGCCCGCCTGCTTACCTGACTGATTGGAGTCAATGCTGATGCCGGCATCAGCAGCAGCAATAGGGGCGGATGAGGGAAGGGAGGGGAAGGGAGGGTTTTACTGTCCAGTATCAGAAGTACCGGTACGTCTCATTTGTCCTCTGGAGGATTTCTGAACAGAGGGAGGAGGGAGGGATGCTAGGATCTAGGGTCATGGATTCATGGAATATGACTCGCAGGTTTTTTGTTTTTATTATATGGTAGTGTGTTATTCGTCAACATGGGTTTTTTGTAGGGGTTAATTGGAGGTTTTTCTCCCGCTTTCTCGGAATTGGGGGATGGGGGGATGGGAGGTTAGGGATGGGAGGTTGTGCCAGTGGTTGGATGAATGGATGGACGGGTCTCCGGGGTGGGAAGTCAGTTCAGCCACCGGGATTCGTTGAGTGGTGGGGGGAATCGGATGGGAATGGGAGAGAGCCTTAGAGGGGTAGGGTGGATCTACGAGTTTTATTGATGTTAGATTAAACCGAATCGCCGGCGGTGGAAGGGGGTTATCCTATGGTTTTGTGAAATTCGTTCGCTCTGTTTTTGATCTTCGGAGGGGAATTTTTCTTTCTTTTCTTTTCTTGGGGGGGGGGGGTAGGGTCCCGTAGGAACAAATTTATTCATCTGTGGGCACATATGTATTATAATGACATGTAAGTGTGTACAGTACCGATATACCAATAGGTATCGCATCGTAGGTATGAGTAGGTATACATCGTAGGTAGTCAGGCATAACTTAGGGTTAACCCGCCTACCTGCTCAGCTGCCCATTCCATACTACCATAAAACGGACAGTTAATACAACCGATGATAGATACCCAGAAAATAACTTGTTACAAAACCCCTCTCACTTTCTTTTTCTGTTTCTTTTTTCCCCCTTTCAATTCCATCAGGCACATCATTTCATGCCTTAAACCTAATGCATTCCATCTTTCCACTCTCACAATCCTATCCATCTTTCTCCAATATCACACACAGGCACCCCCCCCCCCCAACAATAGTACCCCCAACCTTAATTCCACCCAATAACTCCCCACCCAACAACTTCCCCCTCCCCCCTCCCCTTCTCATCACCCGCTTCTCCTTCTCCTTCTCCTTCTCCTTCTCCTTCTCCTTCCCCTTCTCCCTCCCCAACAATAACGATGCTAACCCCCCGCCCAATGATGCCTTTGCCCCCCACACCAAGTACGAGCTCCTCCTCCAACCTGACTACCTCCTCCTCCTCCCCTCCTCCTCTTGGCAAGAGCACGTCGTGCAGGATTGTGTTATGCACTCCGAGCGGGTCGTGCGCGAATTCACTTTTTTTTTTTTTTTTTTTTTTTGGTTATTGAAATCAACAAAAGGGATCGGTGATGGTAGAGGGAGGACTTACTGGATTCTCAACCTACAGACTGCATTGATTGTGGAAGTTGAAATTGAAGTAGAGGGAGAAGGAGGAGGAAGAAGAGGAGTGCTATAGCTCAAGATTGGAGTCTTCCATTGGCACTTTACACATGTGGTGGAGGTGGTTTGTGCGTTATTGCTGCCGCTTCTGCCGTCGTCTTCCCCATTGCCCGGTGGGGAGGAGGAGGAGGAGTTGGCCTCGTTCGTGAAGAGTACTTGCCCGGTCCATGCGCTGTGGGGTGTGTGCGGGCTCTGCAGGGTCGCGACTGTCAATATTTTCCGTCAGTCCCTATATTTTTTATTTTGTTTCCTCCCCCCCCCTCCGTTCCCACTATTTTGCCCTATCAGCGTTGTATTGGTGGGGTGGGGAGGGAAGGGAAGGGAAGGGGAGTATATCGCATACTTGCCCCTCCGCAGGATGGAGCTCTATCCGATAGACACATTTCCGTTTTCTATTTATTCTCTTTCTTGAAATTCCCGTTTCGTCCACTGTTTACTTTGGCCCGGGGGGGGTTTTTTTTTTCTTTTTCCCTCGATGTACAGTATTTTTAACAGTTTCTGTTCTGTACCTGTGCTCTGCTTCACCCGCCTTCCTATCGCGCAGAGAGGGGTATGATAGGTAGGTGGTCTAAGTAGGTGTGATATGGTTGTTAAAGAGGAAGAGGAAAAAAAGCTATCTATTCGATAAAGGAAGAGAGAGAGAGAGAAAGAAAGGAGGCTTTTGCAGATTATCACCATCTTTTATGTATTCGGATTATCGAAAACCGGTACAGTACGAGTACAGTACTATAACTATGAGTTGGTTATGTATGTATCATCGCAGCCATATTTTTTTTTTTGAGCGGGTTTGAGAGGGATGATGAGATGGGATGGGGGGGTTACTGCTTCCGGGATTACTTTCGGGTTTTTGTCCATGGTATTATACAGTACTGTATGTACGGTACTTGTTCAGTATAGGTGGCGGGTGCTCGGGGTGTAGTTTGATTTGGGTGGGTAAGTGGTATCCGGTGGAATCTTTCTTTACTCTGCCGTCTACTCTTTTTTTTTTTTTTTTTCTTTTTCTTTTTTTTTGATGTCGCATTATCGTGCCTATAATACCAACTATAGTGTACGAGTACTGTGCACCGGTATATTGCTCTAACCAGCGCGGCCGGGTTTGAGGTTGGGCGCTTTGCGATTTAGTTTAGCTTGTTCGACTTGGAATCGGGCGTGGGAGTAATTAGTAGACCAAGTTAGTTGTCAGTTCGGTGCGGTGCTGTTGTCGCAGGACCACACGTTTTCTCTGTCGCACCATGTGTGACCGCCGGGGTTCATATTAGCGGTCATAGCTGCTATAGTGTAATACAAGTGGACTGACTACCGGTACTATGATACTAAACTACACTATAAAGTACCGTACTTTTATATGATTGTTTTGGAAAAGCCTTCAAAACCTGCCCCTAGCGCAAATTCTTGAGAAGCAGACATATCACCGGCGGAGAAAAGTAGGATAAAAGGGATCACGAATGAAAATGGAATAAAATAAAAACCTCGATTCAAAACCTCGTCCCTCGACCGCATGTACGAGTACTGTACTGTACTGTACTGTACTGTGCAGTGGGGTATAGTTACTCGTATCATACATACACATCATACATACATGCAAACACACGCACCGCACACACGCGCATTGTAAGGCGAAATAAACGGGTACTTCAACCCTCTCCCATCCATGTTTGAAAGGCACACGGGTGAGTCGACGCTTTGTCCTTTTATCGTGAAACTCTCTGCGAGGTATGATGGATATAGTTCAGTCGTGTCGTTTATAGAACAACCCTAACCCAACTAGCAACCGCAGAACAACGCTGTGCTTTTGCTTATCCCTTATCCATCCGGTCGGTGGGTCGGGTTCGTAATGCGCCGGTTGGTTTACAATGAGCTTGGGCGCTATTATTAGTTTTTTTTTTTTTGTTTTGTTGCCGTCGCAGGGTCCTCGGAGTTAGACTAAGTTATTGATTGATTGATTGATTGATTGATTGATTGATTGATTGATTGATTGATTGATTGATTGATTGATTGATTGATGGATGGACATCGATTTCTGCCTGCGTACCGAGATTTTCACGGCGGCTGAGTATGATGCAGTACCCATCATTCATACAAGTGTTATAGCTGAACCGTGCAGATTACTAAGTGTAAGAAGGAGTCCATGATTACAATGAGGACGTTTCGAATTTTCAGCCTGCTGGTGATGACATGCAAGTGTAGATGCAGTCTGGTTGCCAGTTGCGGCTGTTGATGAGTTTTCTCCTTGACGGAACAAGCGAGCGGGGAATCTGTTACCGTAATCGTCCAAGTCCTTGAGCATTGCAGTGTTAGGGAGGTCCATTCTGATCGCTTCATCATTAAATTTATTTGTCTTGTCTGCGAGAAATGATTTCAACATTCCCTCGGCCCGGACTGTGGCATGGGGGTGACGATGGCGGTCGTCGTGGTGGCGCCCCCGACTGATTCACAACGTGCCAGAACCAGCGCCTTGGAGCGACCAGGTTGGGTGGGCGTTTGACAACAGCCACGGATCGGTGGCGCGTGGTTCTAACTATGATAAGGGCTCAGACGGGTAGAAGGCAAAGTTCCTAATATTTCACCTTTCTGCCCAGCGTTCGAGGTAAAAAGTGAGACCCCGGGGAGCGCAACTTCACGGAGCAGGCCATGATACCCGGTTTCGTTTTGTTTTTTCCGCTCTATCTCAAATTTCCCTTCGTACTGTGCAGCACATGGACCACCGCGAGGAGCAGTATCCTGCGCGGGCCCCCTCCGTATTTCAAGACATTGGTTTAAAATTACGCATTGATTAAGCATAAACCTTTCGTGGAGTTCTACAAAATGCAAACGGGTCGAGAGCTGCGAACTTCATTCGTAGCGAACAAGATAGCATGCGAGAGAGATTGCATGTTCAGCTGGATCTGGCCAACCTGTTGCCAAGCACAAACTGCTGGCGAAAGGGGCGATCGGCATCATTACCTATCACTCACTGCTTACCTCATCGAGACTTCCAGAGCCTCCAAGTGGCAGATTAAATCCCCAGCGATGGCTATCATGGGCAGCTCGGGTCCCCCGCAAATAACTTTCCGCCAAAGGGTTTCATATCGTTTCTTTGTTAAGCCTAGTCGTTCCACTAAACACCAGACCCAACCTCATTGTCCCAGATTTTTCCCGAAGCACTTCTGGCTGGAAGGGCGTGATTGGGTACCACCGCAAGTTGGTATTCTTTCCCCCAACCACTATAGATTAGCACCTCTCTTTCCGCTTGATCCTGCCAAATTCCTAAAACGCCCCCCCTAAATATCACCCCCCGGCACGGTTTTCTTCAAGAGTCCAAACAGACTGCTAGCACCCCAGCTTGTTTAAACAAGGTTTATCATGGCGGCCAATGGAGGGTGGGCTCGATGAATCATGGCTTGTCATGACTCATGATTCGTCGAGCAATCAGCCTTTGAACCCCGCCACCCCCCTTGCCATCTCGTGGGAGCCAGCCAATCGAGTGACATTCCGTGAGCTGGAGTCAGAGGCTGCCCCTGTAGTCCGGAGTTTTGGGCTCCGGGGGATACGAGGGATTGAGCCGGACGTGACATTTCTGGAAAGCCTCCCGGGGTCCCTATTCCCCAGCAGATACTATACAGAAATGAACGGCATCCGCCAGGAATGTGCACACACATGGATCCTGTTTTTTTTCTTTCTCGTAAAGCCCAATTTCTGTTGCTGCTCTGATAAACCTGTAACATGACCCATGACGTAAAGGAGCTCCCCCACATTGCTGCCGGGGCCCATGTGCATCGTGGTAGATATCTTCGTGTGCTGGTCAAACCCCAGAGTTCTTCGCTAATGCGCTCGACTGATAATCCTCATGTACGCCTATCTGCAGCCAGGACGCAGATTCTCACGGGGGTGACCTAGGAATATATGTATTCTGCTTGGAGAAAACGTCCGTGCTAACAGACTTCCTGCGAGGCATCGTATCATATCATACCATATCATAAGCATAGTACAGAAACAAACCACGCGGTACAGAATAAAGTGCCCATAGCCACACCCCAGACTTGACGTTGCACTTTATAGGATCGCCGATGTCAGTTAGGGCATGCGCGGGCATGTCTGTACTCGAGTGCCTCTGCTGACCCCCATAAAACATGTTGGTTTGTGCTCCCTTCAGCGGAGTGTGCCGTATTCCGAGATGCTCTTCACACTGCCTATTGGCCCGCGGGGAGGTGTCAGCTTGGCCTCTTTCTGAATGGTAGTGCCTGGGGTGAGATTGAGTCCGCGGGTACGCCGGCCCAGTCCGGGACTACAGTTTTGAAAAAAACATTTGTATATTCTAGTTTGCCACCCCACGGTCTCATTTGCAAAAATTTAGTTGCGGCTTGCTTCGGCCCATCCGCAGACTTAATCTCACCTATGTGCTCGGAGATAAGATACCGGTATGGGTCGCTGCAATATGATGGTAAGGGTTAGAAACAAAAAATGGGTGTTCGGTTGAAGCTTACCCATTCGTGTTGGAGAAATAGTGCAAGTCTTCTCAGCCTGCTCTAGACCCTTGTTTAGTAAACAGCGCTCCAGATCCGCCATGACTTCTCTTTCTTTTTCTTTCCTGTACAAAAGACTGAAATTCGCCTTATTTCCTAGCTACCTACATACCACCCCCGATGCAGGCCCGACAGTTACCTACGTGGAGGAGTGGAAGCTGGATCCACTGCCATAGCGAACGCAGCAGCAGCAAAGCATGGCTGCAGTACCTATTCGAAGCGATGCACCATTGCGGCGGTTGAGGTCCTAGGGATTGCCAGGTGTTCCTAGGCTGTGGCCATCACATCAGAGGTATCACTTCCGTGAGTTTCTCCCCACTCTCCGATTTGCAATGAGGCGAGTGACACTTAGTGACTTCGATTTCGAGCATGTCATCGAGGCTATAGACTTGGAAACGAGGAGTATCGTATGCGCTCGGTCACTGGGATGTTGGCACTGTTTCGGGTGCCAGACTGCCTGGTCTTCTACGTGGCCTTTAGTTATGGGGCGGGATAGTACCAGGCTCCATTGTTCCAGCATCCGCGGCAGGGAAAAAAAGAAAAAAGAAAATCCGATACAGTGCACAAGCATCTTATGACGTCCGCAATTGCAGTAACTGACTACTGATTCCAGGAATGACCGGGAGCTCCGGGTGATGATCTGTGACCCTCGGATTCGCTTCTTGATTGCGCATGCAACTGATTGAACAGATTTTTTTGCGTTTTGTGGGTGCACGTATACCCATTCAAAGATCTATGATACCTGGTCTTTCACCATTCAGTCGGAATCAATGAGGGGAGAAATAGTCTTAAGTAGGGTTAGGATCAAACCGAAACCGGGAGTTGGGGAAAGTAGTACAGTGACCTTCAAATATGCCCGTTCAAATTGGTGCCTTAATTCTCCAGCCCAACGAGGTCATTGGGGGTCATTCGGAATCCCACATAAGTCGTCGCTCCCTCACCTGGGGCTTTGGGCATCTCCTGCGTTGCCCGGAGCCCGGAAGTGGGCAAAAGGGGTCTCGAAGCCCCGACCCCCGCAGATAGGAGGAGAGTGGAGATACTGCAGCAATTGCGAGGGGCGTATAGTGTTGAGGGCGCAGATCTCGGAACGCCCAAGGTGAACTCCGGGGGCACTCGGCTCGCGGTACTAGGAGTACCGGTAGGTTAGGCTCCCAGTGTTTAGGAACCCGGGGAAATATTGTCAAAACTTGTGAAAAACCAGCTTAAGGAGAGATCATCCATTCTCCTGGTGCCCGGTAGTCTAGTAGGTATGAAGGATGGAGAGAATCCCTTGCCTCCTTCCTTCCTCGAATCTCACATTATTTTTACCCCGCATTGGCGACAGCGCTTAACTGTGGGAGGAAAAGAAAAAGAAAAAGAGGTGGTGCAAGCATATTAGCAATTTTGTGACCTCACAAATAAGAAATATTTGGATCGCACCTTTCTCTCTCTTCGGAGGTTCCTTTCCACCCAATTTAGTTAGCTAACAGCTGTAATACTGTACCTGTACTAGTACTTGTAGAAATATTTGAGGAAGGGGGGGGGGGATATTGTAATTCTTTCGAATTTTGTCGGTTCTCTCCCCTGATAGCTCCGAGCGCACAGACCTTTAATTCAGTGATAATAGATTTTGCATCACCAATAGTCACTCATTTCACCCCTATTCTGACTCCTTTACGAGCCAAATTATCACTCGGCCGTCGCTAGGAGTAACCATATAGTGTGTAAAACAAAGATTTCAACTCTATCCCGCGAATTGTGCGCAATGAGTAGAATAAGGATTAGAGGAGTATGGGGCGGAGATTTGGGTTTTTCGCCAATCTATAACCCGTCTGGAGTAGCATGGGAGAAATTGAGGTAAAAGTGTCTGACGTAGTTAGGAAGCAGGCGCTTATATAGCAGCTCGCAGGGGAAAGGCTGGAGGATACGGAACACTTACGACGCAGGAATGGTAGAAGTGGAAAAACCGAATACTCCTTAATGTACCCAGCATGTCAACGACTTCTATCTTCCTTTCCTACTACTTCACAAGTTGCTAACGTGTTTTCAATGTTGAGCACATCTATGATTTTTAATTTGCCACTGATAAATCAGTCTCCGTCTTAACCTGAATTTGGCATCAAATGTGGAGTGGAAAGCTGTCTAGGGTGCGGTACAAACAGAGGTGGGGGTTTAATTTGTAATCCTTAGCGACGTATACACACCCATGTACGCGCTTCTTCCAAGATGTCAGGGCCTGGCTCGAGCCTAATGGCAACTTGATTAAGAGATACACATACGATGATAATATTATGGGAAAAAAACAAAACCCACGGTCTTGGGGATGGAGGTAAAGTTGGATGTATACTAGAAAAAGGGCAAATTGGATTTGATGTCCTAACTAGGAATACGGTATGGCACTGTCTAACTCATCTCGCCTTCTGCTCACTAGTTTACTCATCTCGAATATTGAACAGAGCTCCATGTGCAAGGGTGGGAACCTAGGGAGGAAACAATAAAACATGGAATCTCATGCCCCCAAACGATCGGGAAGCCCGCAACCTAACACACTTGTGAGGGACTCTACCCAAAATTCAGTAGTAGACCATCATTGGCGAAATATCATATGCTCTCCTATCAAAATTTAATAGAGTTTGATACCGAACCATAACTCATGACGTGGGGGATTGGGTACTTTGAGTACTCAGAGCAACGTGCTAGGACATTGTAATCACCTCTCGAAGTAAGGTACTGTGTACTGTATTTTCCTTTTTTCTTGCAGACGAGAGCTGAGATTGCGGTAATTTCTCTACCTCTCTATCTCTGAAGGGGAATTTCAACCACAAAGCAGATGGCTCTTGCATTCGAGCACTTACCGCATGCCTGAGATGAAAATTCGCCTCCTGACCGAGAAGGAGGTAAGGAGGAGCAGGATTTCGGTGAGAACCCAGTTATCTAACCTGCCGCCTTCGGGCATTTGCCAAAGAAAACCGTCAAGCTATATTATTTTAGAAATTTATACGATAAAACCCCCCACAAAACTTTCTCGGACCGGCTACTACATACTGCACTCGACTGCGCGGGGACAGCCTCTACATATGTAAACCACATGAGATGGGTTTCTCAACACTTGTTGGCACGCCCATTCCAGTCCTACGCTGAGAATAGAGACGCAAACTGTAACACCTTAGGACCGACAGGTTTAAAAACACATTCTGCTCTAAAACAAGAGATTTATTCTAGATAACTTATATCGGTAATATTTCCCCCCAATTCCTCCCAGTATTTCCATTTCTCTAGATTTTTACCTAATTGATTTGTATCATGCTGTATTTCTTGTAAAACTAACAGCATTGAGATATGGTACCATCTTCTTCCCTAACAACACCTTTTATTTTACTACTAAGGGACTAGGTATTAGAGCAAAGCTGTTTTTTGCTTTTGCAAATTTTTTGATTAACTTTATCGCGGCAAAAGATGCCATAAATGATAAATGAGCTCGCACTGTACGGAGGTACTGTATGATACGGCTCATAAGTTTTGTATGTTACACTAGTGGCTCACACAACCCACCACTGCCAGCATAACATACAAAACTTAGGCGCTGTGCTATGCCTCCGTAATAACAACCTGAAAAGGGGAGCCACCATTATAGAATGCTCTCACATCATTTAAATTTGTAAATCAGCCACACTTCTTTTTCGCAAATCAAACCTTCCAGCTTTCCTCTTCACTTCTACCCAGTATGCCCTACAAGGAAGGGAGAGTCAACTCATCTACTCGAGTATCATAGCTGGAAAGGAAAGGAAAGGAAGCTCCAGACATGCCAAAAGCCAGTGTTTTCCACAAAAACGGGGTATTTTTTATTCTAAAATCATATCTTATTGTTTGCATAGCGCAAGGGTCTTGCAACGGGCATGGCCCAGAAAGTGATAGTATGATATGATAAACAAAGAGAATTACGGGCCGTTCCGCAAGAAGGCGATCTATAAACTCTCTCAAGGCGTGGTGGGTGGTTCATAGTTGAGATAAACCCCGGTTTATAGACGTGCAGCGCCAAACGGTACTTACAGATTAATTGTACAGTAAGCTAGGCCGAAAGGGGGGGAACTTTAATGTTTAAAAGACCTAGTTTTCCACGCGCAGGCCATAACGATACCATACCGTAGTATTATAACGGCAAACAATTCTCCCCAATTCACGCCTGCCAACCAGCTCACAAACTACAAGTATCGGGCCTGCCGTCGCCCAAGGCTCATGTCATGATACGAACCGCATCGCGCAAAAAACCAGCCTCTCAATCCCTTTGCTCAGCCAGCCGGTGGAAAACATAGGCTTCAAGCTATGGCAGAACTTTGTTTTTTGCCAAGTCGCGAGTCTTGTGCGACATGCATGATGGATCACTCTTGAATACTATTATACTACTAGATTCTTGCAGCGTAGGGGTGTAGTAGTAGCACCTCCAGGTATATATATGTCGAGAAATCAACACTAAAATTACTAATGATAGAGCTTGATGAGCCGGCGCGGTGTTCAGCAGGACCATCCCCCGCAGCGGGTGAGGGAATTACGGATTCACATTTTTCTCTTATCATCGCCCGGGGGCTCGAGTCGGTGAATGACGAGAGTATCATATCCTATTCCTCACCATAGTGTGCGGGTCAGCACGGAGGAGAGGGTGGGGGGGGGTAAAATAGAGTTCTGCCCTTGAAGACCAAACGTCCACTGATTGCTGCTGTTAAATTATTATGATATCTAGCGGAACATCTATCGGATAACCCCCCCCCCCCAACACTCAAGCTGACTAGAAGATTCGGGTAGGTTGAATACCAGATTAGGAGAATCAAATCATGATATGAAAGACGCGGGTATCATAGTTACTTATATCTCGAAAGTACAATACCGGTATATGATCAAGCGGACCGTATCCACCACACACCTCCACCCGCACATCCGGAAAAAACTAACGATGAACCCGGGAAATCACCCCAAGTTATCATTCACACAACTAATTGTAACTTATTACTTCGCACCTCCTCCGATACCAGAATTCACCGGGCCATCTCGTAGACGCAATCCAGTCGCACGAACACCCCACCCGAGCAATTACGCACGCGCACACGGCTACCATACGGCCCGCCAAGCTACTGGATGTACGATATCATGAAGTCAGCGTATTATCATTCCGGTCCCTTATCACCAGGAAGGCGCCAAGAAACCCCCCCATACCAACCCTGCCAAAGTACATGTAAGTGTGTTCGGCCATAGAACGATGAAAATTTCGCATCCCGTCCGCTCTGCGGTAAACAAGCATCGTATCGACCGGTTAGTACTACAGTGGGTGACCATGTGGGAATCCCGGTTGCTGAACTCTTTACACTCCTTTTGCCTTCTCTCTTTTTTATTTTACTTCTTCCCGTTCTCGGTCCAGCGTTATTTTGCGCCTGGGGAATCGCGAAAGTTCTCCCCCTTGTGCAGGAGTCTGGTAGGGGTTGGTTGGAGTTGGTGATGTATTACTCCAGGAGGTGGTGGCAGGAATCCCTGTAGATCTGCGAACCTGGGGGTTGCACAGCAGAGTGTCTGGGTCTGGCGATTACTGAGTCTGCTGTAATACAATACTCGTGTTTCATATGATAACAGTAGGGGTCAAACACTTTTTTCTTCCCGGTATTCACAAGAGGTCACTCGAGGGTTTTACTGGGTTGTTGATCACTGCTGCAGCCGAAACATACTAATGGCAAGCATATCGTGTTCAATCCTTGTAGAAGAGGAGAGAAAGGAAGAAAAGAAAAGAAAGAGAGGAGATTTGAGTTGGATATGTCATTTCCGGGAAGAGCGCACACCCACTGATAATCTACACCTCAGGAGTCTTCTCCTCCAAGGCAACCGACCGCAAATTCCCCTCAATGCCCACGGCCCCGGCCCCTCCCTCCTTCTTCGCAAGCCTCTTACGGATCTGAGCGACTAGGCCATCCATGTTAATGTCCACACCATTCTTCTCAGGATGACCTTCTGGTAGTCCCATCTCTTTGATCTTGACTTTGCCTTCCTTCAACTCATCCTCGCCAAGCACGACAGCGAATGGGACCCCATTCTTCTCCGCGCCAGCGAATTGGTGTGGGAGTTTGGGTTTATTCTTGTACATGAATTCAGCCTGTGTCCGTTAGTATCTGGTTTGGTTAGAAGGAGGAGGTGAAGGGAACCTTAACACCAGCATCCCAAAGAATTCTGCAAACTTCCATGCGCTCTTTGAGTAATCCTGTGAACCCTTTGCCGCCAAACGCCATAACGTATACCTCTACTTCATTACCGCGGACTTCGCCCGTCATGCGTGCCTTTGTAATGCTGAAGATGCGGTCAACACCGAAGGAGATACCGACGCAGGGAACACGGCCCTTGGCGCTGTTGGCAAACATTCCGACGAGTTCGTCGTATCTACCGCCTGCAGCGATCGAGCCGATGCCAATGGAGTCGTCACTCGAACGGTCGGCGTCTGGATCGTCCGATTTAGGCGCCCGCCGCAATTTGGCAGATTTGCCGGCTGGTGGGGCGGAGGCTTCTGTCACTACTTCGTAGATTATGCCGGTGTAGTAGTCTAGCTGGTTTTCAAGTTAGATTTTGAGTGAATCAGTGATTAGGGAAAGGGAGGGGTTACTCCGCGAGCGAGGGAAAGGTCGAAGGAGAGTTTTGGCATGACATGAAGAACCTCAAGGTAGTCGAACAGAAGGCCCATGTCTTTGAGACCACTGGCGAAAGCCTCGTTGCTGGTTAGGTTTTCGTCTTCTAATAGTTCGTCCAGCAGCTCTCTCCCACCCTTCTTCTGAACGTATCCCCCGATCCTGTCGGCGACTTCGGGATCTAATTCCTTCTCTTCCGTCATCTCTCTGCGCACGTCTTCCCAGGTAGCCTGCCCAATGAATATAGGTTAATAACCCATTCAAGCACACCAAATCACTCGACATACCTTATCCAGTTTATCCACCGCGCTAGAGATGCTCCGAATCTTGTCTATCGGAACACCGCAGACCTGAAACAACCCATCGAGGATCTTCCGATGATTAATTTTGATAGTATAATTCCCCAAGTCGAGATTGTCCAAGATCTCCGTAGTTATCCTCAGGATCTCAGCATCAGGGAGCATAGGATCGTAGGTGCCGGCGATATCGAAATCACACTGGTAGAACTCCCTCATCCGGCCTTTTGTCATAGCGGGCTGATCACGGCGGTATACCTTGGCGATGTGGTAGCGTTTAATGCTCTGGATAGTAGGGTTCATGGCGAGCCAGCGAGCGAACGGGACAGTCAGGTCGTAACGCAGGGAGCAGATTTCCCCCCCCTGATCCGCAAGGTCGTAGATTAGCTTAGAGTCTTCGCCGTATTTACCCGTGAGGACTTCGCGGAGTTCGAAAACACTAACATCCCCCAGTAAGCTATGTTTGCTTGCCTTATATGTTTATTTGCTCGCTCCCTGACAAAGGAGAGAAACAGAGCAAATACGTACGGAGTATCAATAGTAACCGCCCCATGACGCTTAAACACATCCGTGATGGTAGAAAATATCTTATCACGAATAACCATATCCTTACCCTCCCAGTCCTTAGTTCCTTTAGGAACTTTCAACTCGAACCCTCTTTTCTCCTTCCCGGCCTTCTCCTTTCCCTTTCCCTTTCCCTTTCCCTTCAGTGGCATAGCTAATTCGCTTCCTGCCGAGTAACTCATCTTCGCTCGGAGATCTAGTCTGGGTAGTAAAAGCAGTGTGCGTGGTAGCGGGAACAAGAGGGGTTGCCGGAGGAGTAGTGTGGTGAGCGTTTTGGTGATGGTGGGGGGTGATGAGGGGTAATGGAGGGGCATCGCGATGCTGTGACGCGCTGCCAGCCTACGATAAGGGGACGGAAAAGAAAAAACTTATCATACTGTTGAGTCAACCCCCGAACGATGCAGCAAGCTAAACCCAGCCTTTGCCAGAGAAAAGAGAATGAAGGAAACGGAACACTAACAAGTTAATAAATAATTGATGTTTCTAGTCCCTAAAATAATAGGGTTGATCGCTACAATAATTGTGATAATGAATTAGTTCCCCTTCCATCTCTTTTCAGTTCCTGATTTTACTCCACCCGGATCTACCGATCGCCTTGAGCCTCAGGGTTAGGGCTCCACAATCCACCTTGACAGGAATTAATAGCTAGCAAGTAGCAATAACATAATAATTTTATACAAAGCAGGCCATAATGGGATCAAGTACCTTGCCCATCACAATCACACAGTAGTAGCCGGTTGGGTAAAGGGCCATACGTTGATTCCGGTATTAGAGCAAAATATCCACTCCTACTGATACCGAATTGTGTTGTGTGATCGTGTAATACAACCCCAGTAAAACGAGCCGCCAAAACACTACCACGAGTGACCGATTATGACCACGGCCCTCAGGAACCACACAATGTCACAGAACTCTCAATTTCGAAAGGCCATTAATTCCATATCATTACTGTCATAATCGTGGGCGCATAAGAGCATGATGGCAACCCAGTTAAGCCAACATGAAGCTAAACCGAAGGTAAAGTGACCAGAGGGCAGGAAAAAGAGACATTGAAAAAAGAAAAGACTAGAAACTTCCCAAACCCACGACTCCAGAAGACAAATAGAATGAATCCCAAAAATTGAGATCATAAAAAGAATAAAATGGGTATAAAGTTAAGTGTCCGGATTGTTGGGGGTTGAGGACGAAAGGGAAAACTAGGCCCTACCCGCCACCCTTGTTATTTCTAAGAGAAAATGCCAATGAAATGGTGTGAAACAGCGAAAGAGGACGAGAAGAGAGAAGTAATTATCTGTATCTCATGGTTTTTTTTTCCTCCCATTCTCGTGGTTCGCAAATGCAAGAGGTAAGCCACCAGATTTAGACAAAATAAAAAATGAAATGAAGCAATAAAAGTTCTACATCAAAATGTGTTTTCCGAGTGCTAGATGCAAAGGGGGAATGTAGCCTCCGAAAGAAAAGAAAAAATAGTGGGAGTGAAAAAATGATTGCTTCGCAGAGCATTGAACACCCATGAAAGCAATTGACCGAACCGAAAAACGCCGCTCACGTATGCCCATCCTTCATGAATTACTTCAAGGCCTAAACATGCTATCCATCACCTTCCGGGCAAAGCCCCCCATCTCACCCCCTTCCCTCAATAGCTCATCGAACCCTTCTAACTGTCTAACCGCATGGAACATCTTAGCCACGTAAGTTGTGATGCTCTCCCGTAGTAAAGCGGTTTCGTTGTCTTTTCCATAAACGCCACCCCTGTACCCCCCATTTCCATTTCCAGTACCAGTCATACTGCTAGAGTTGCTAATCCTGCTTGTACTTCTTCGCTCAGTTGTCATAGCCAACCCAACATCGCTTCCTTCGGCTGCTTGACCAAAAGCAGAAGCCGCGCCTTCTCGATTTTCCATGACAGAGCTTGCCACCATAGGGTCGTTGAGTGGGTATCCGCTTCCTGAACCGCCACCATAAACGTATCCATGTGTGTATCCCGCGCTAGGGCTTCCTTCTCTTGGCATCATCCCCGACCCACTAAGCGAGGAGCCCACTCCACTATCCCTCTTTCTGGTAGATGTGCTCTCTGGCAAGTCCTCAAAGGCGAACCTGATCAATCTCAATAGTCTCTGACTAGGTGGGTTGGGGCTCGCCAGGTCAAGTAATTCATTCATAAGATGGATCCGAATCAGGCTCTTGAGTTGGGAGATCCCGAATTTGTCTGCCATTAGGAACAACGCATACTTTTGTTCATCCAGTTCCTCCTCTTCATCCATCATCTCAACTGTATTCTCATAGGTGTTGAGGTAGTCATAAGTTGGCTCCTCTGGTGGTTGTTGCGATTCGGCAAAACTGCCGGCAATAGTTGATACGGCATCATCCATGCCACGTGGTGGAATGTTAGGGGGGGACCGTGGCGAGAGGTGCATGCCATCTGGCGTGGACTTTTTCGCTGCGACGACAACGCTTGGGGACCCTGGGATGTAACCATTTGTGTTCATGTTCGATGCCAGTGGGTACTCTCCGGTGTACAGGAACTCCAAGAGGGCTTCAAAAATCTTGGGATCCTCGTCTGGTAAAATAATTCTGCCTTCTCTTGCTTCCCTAAACCCTGGTCTTAGTGCTGCCTCAAACCATTCACTTCTGGCTGCAAGAATTGCTTTGTGTCCATGAACAATGTGCCTGTCCGGGCCGACAATGAGTTCCAAATCAGAGTATTTTCGGCTATTGATTAGTGATCGAAGATTCTTCCCTACGGGATCAACAACTGCCACGCCACTCGTCTTCTGGTCCCAGTAGCTCGCCGGAGCAGAAGCAGCTCGAGCTGCCGCATGATTGGCACTAATCATAGTACCCCCTAATAAGTTACCGGTCATAGTTGGGCTCAGCGGCCTTCGCATCTTCTCGCCGTCGGGGTGGTATCTCAGTCGACATACGATATCGACGGTGCGTCTTGTGTTGACGACGGGGTCCCGAAGCAAGATGCTATTGTCAAGCAGTCCAGGGAAACCCCACGACAATTGGTTCTCACGGTAAACAGCGACCGTGCTCTTATCCTTCAACTGTCGACCCTCAGAATTGAGGATCACAAACTGCAAGTAACGGATGTCTCGGGTCCAGGTTCGCTCCTGGAGCTCATTGTCGGTCATAACAACGTAAAGGAAGATACCATATACCCGATTTCCGGCCGAGTCGACGTTTTGTTGGAAGAGCATTCGCCAAACCCAACCATCTGGATGGCCGAAATTTTGAGAATATCTGCAGCCATTGTCAGCCCAAAATTCTTTCTACACTACGAGTTTAGCAGTAGCATACGTTTCGAAATCTGCCGACAAATCAACGTTTCGCCATCGATACTAAACGGTAAAAAAAAAAAAAAGATTAGATGCAGTCAACAGTAGAGCTCGCAGTAAAACTTACCACCCAAGTGACGTATTCTGATGAAACAGAGTTGATCTCCAGAGTCATAGGAGACAACGGAATGTGAACTATAGATGCTGCCATTTTGATAGCTTCCACCTCAATTCCTTGCACATAAAACAGTTAACCCGATTCCGCCGATGCAGTGAGCGGCGCAAGCCCGTCCGACTTGCTGGTAACTCCTTCAAGCGTTGTAGAGAGGAACTCAAGCTAGGGCGTAGTTCCTGGAATGGCGGCTTCGTTTATGGAAACACTGTACGCGCAGATAGAGGGAGAGGGAGCACTCGATGTGGGAGGATAGCCCTGTTGTGTCAATGTCCGCTCGGGAGGGACGCTACTGTGCCTAACCTTCCAGCCATGAAGCGAATTAGAAATTGAATCGCGAGGTTTGGAAGAGCTTGATGGATAAAACAAGAAGAGGTCTATTATATACCGAAGAATATGACTATCTATGGATGGAGGCAAGAGGAGAGCGCTAATAAATTTGTGGAACACGTTTGTACCGCACGTTTAAAGTGACCTGTTTTAAAAGGGAAAGAAAAACAAAACTTTCTATGGCGTTTGTTAACCCCACCCTAGGCTCGCTTTGCTTGCTTGGGGGACTATCAAAAGGGAAAAAGAAAAGAAAAGAAGCTCGACGTGTGTGGGGCAGCGGGTACTGGGCACGACCTGGCTTCGTATGGCCGCGAACGTGGATGATTGAGCTGACTGAACCACAGCTTAGTGAGAATGCGAGCGGAGGAATGATCAACAAAGGAGGAATTGGGTGGGTGTGTGATGATGAAAGCGGAAGAGGGGAGACAAATGTGAGGGAGGGATGGTGATGGGAGATGTGAGGGGTTCACGGGGGGTACGGGCTGGGGGTAACGGGAAGGGGGGTTTACGGTAAACCGACACGGTGAGATAGTAGTGAGGTGAGGATCGGGGTGGGTGGATGGTGGTGGTGGTGGTGGTGGTGGTGGGAAGGAGGGAGGGCGAGAGAGGGCGAGAGAGAGAAAGGAGGCAGCGGTGTCACGGCGAGGTAGGCGAGAGCGGAATAAAGTAGCAGAAGCAGAAAAGAGTTGAGACACAGAGAGTTATGGACGACCGAACGAGGCAAGCAAGCAAGCACCAAGCAAGCAAGCAAGCAGTAGCAACAAGCAGAAGCAGCAGCAGCAGCAGTCCGGAGAGCAGTGCAGACCAGATCGCCGGCCACGCTGGCCAGCGAAGCCCGGAGTGAAAGAGAGCCTATCTGCCATGTTGTCGTTGTACTGTACATGGGACATGCCCCCTCCACTCTCTTGCCCACCCACCCCCGCCCAATTGACCAAGGGCCAGCCAGCGAGCGGCCCAATCCCAACCCAAGCGGCGTGTATTTTTCCCCTCACTGATGATGAGCGGCCACATCGGGGCGAAAATGCACACAATCAATGCGTTCTAATTCGAGCATTGCGACAAGCATTCTTCTACAAATAGAGAGTGAGGGATAGCGGACGAGCGTTGGTATAGGGTAAGAGAGAGATATTGAAAGTATAAGATACGGATACCGGTAGGATAGGGTAGGGTATGATGCGAAGGAGCGAGCGAGCGAACGAACGAACGAAGGAAGGGGAATGAACGGAGGGAGTGAGACGGGGAGAGGGAGTGGAGACAGAAGGGGGTGGCGGTGAGTCGGCGGCCAGTGAGTCTCATCTGCTTCCTGCTTGCATACGTGTTCAGGCGTGGTGAGCGTCTGTCCATCCTGCACTCTAGCTTCCCAAGCGTGCGCCATATGTGTGAGCACAAAATTTCGTGTCTGGTCCGTTCTATCTATGTGCGTGCTCAGCATAAATTTCTCCAACTGTGTGGGTGGGAGCTTGCTCTATCGGTGGCCTGTGGGGAAGAGGATATCTGGGGAGAGCAGGAAAAAAAAAATGATGGAGGAGGAAGGGGGGGAAAAAAAAAAAGGATGGTGGATGGGAAAGCGGTTCTGCGTTGTCGCAGCACCTTCCTCACCCCCGCCTAAACCCCTCTCTCTGTTCTTTTTTCTATCAATTTTTTCCTCAAAAGAATCCTTCTACTCGAGTATCTCCCTCTGACAGGCCGCCTAGGCGTGCGTGTTGCCTCCTAGCAAATCGAAGGCTGCAGCTTCTTCGCAGGTGGGTTCATGTGGGTATCCCTTCGTTTCGTTGCCATTCGCCAGGCGATGGATGGATGGATGGCCAGCTGTACAGATAGACGCAGCGGAGCAGAAAACTAATTTAAACCCCAATTTTTTTTTTTTGAAAAATTATATTGAGTCTAGCAAACTCGTTTCCATCCCCTCCCCCCGCCACAACCCCCCAACGCCAACACTCACCCCCATCCAATGCTTGTAATAGCCACAGGATAGAGTTGCCATTGCCACTGTAGGGCAGACCGTATCCCGGTATGCGGAAAGGAAGGGGAAATATGTCACTAACATCTGGAAAGCTGCGAGAGGTAGGAAAAGGTGCCAGTGATGAATTCCGCATACATGTATGTATGTACGTACAGAGGGCTGAGGGCAGGTGAAGCGAACGCAGATAGTTCCAACCACAGAGGCCTCCTGATACCAGTATTCTCCTTTCTGTGGCCGAGTGACCCAGGAGCCAATGAGAACAAGCTCGCCTCACCTACCATTAACACCCTGTACGACGCAGGCATTGCCCTACCAACCCGGTGGCTCTTGATATACTCAGTACTCGAGTACAGCGCGGCACCATGTCGCTCGTGCCAAAAGTTACTAATGCCCTTCTACTCGAGTAAGCTCAGCCCGCCAGTGTCATTTATCTCCCGCAGAAAGCCAGGGCCTATGGATGTTGAATCATGCCTCGCTTCCTGAGGTCAGTTCCGTCCGAAAGTCTTGACACTATATCACCAGCCCGATAGGGATCTTAGATCCTCCATACAGAGGTTCCCACGATCCTCGTGAAACGACGGAATGCCATCAAGAAGGTGAGAAAGGAGAGAGGGTGAAAAAATGATCGAATCCTTGTATAATATACTAGCAAAGTGCGTGATACTTATTTACACAGCCTAACCTTGTTGAAGGGGGAAAAAAACAGGGCAAGCCAAGATTCATGCAATTTATACCACTCGAGTAGCTCCTCATCTCAGGAAAACTTGGGGTGTCTATCCATTTCCCCAAATGCAATATATATGAAAATATATAGTGACTCTGGTCGAATAGATTCCTGGCGTGTACGACCGCCAGTACAGTGGTGAGACAGTGCGAGTGATAGCGGTCGCCTCCAACATAGTGCAGCGCTTGCTTGACATACCCCCGCCATCTCCGGCAAAGTATTATATCATAGTAGATCGCCGGACACGTTGTTCGTGCCGGCGTCTCGCCCCCCCCTCCCTCCTCCCACTACTCACTCTCATTACCGCCACTACCACCACACCACACCACATTCCATCTCCCCATGACCGCCGATCCTAAATCCAATCTGTCCATAACAGTGCCTCAAACAACCTCTTCGAGTCGGAAACCCTCATGCGACAGGTATAGGGGGAAAAGAAGGGGGGGGAGTGTTTCGACAGGAAAGTTGTTGTCCAATACTTCGATAAAGCGAAAGTCCCTCCCGCCATCACGATCTGAATATCTCCCCTGCCGATCTCATCAACGCCCACTCGGACACCCATCCTCAAACCTTTAGAACTCCTCCCTACCCTAAAAGTCACCGCACCCGCGGGTACCATGCGCCACCAATGCCATTGGGTTGTCAACACTCCATCTCATCTTCCCCAGAGTTCTGCCGGTCTACTGTAAGCCACCGATGAGGAGTGCTAGAATAATCCCTAACTCATTATATTTCTCTCCAACAGCTCACAAGCCCAGAGGATGCTGATCGCCATCGGCACTTATTTATTCACGGTATTTTTGTGGATGCGAATATCTGTGGTAGGATCTAGGTACCGGTACCTATAACACATGCGGGTATGCACAAAAACATTCACACATGCAAAAGCATTGAAGACCTGAACACAAGAAAATAAAATAACGCTCACATGCAAGGCAGAACAGCACTTTCATGAGAGACACAGGAGGCACTCGAGCACTGTACTTGTACCGCAGTCACGGTAGGTTGTTAGAAAAAACAGATCCAATTCTGTGCAATTGTCTTTATCCCCCAGGGAATTCAACAGGTTAAGTAATTTCTGTGCTTTTTTTTCTTTTCTCTTTCCGGGAATAAAACGTCAAGATTATAAGAGTAGAAGGGCATGATAGGAAGCGAAAGGGGTAAGAAGAAAAAAAAGCTCGCCAATAAAAATAATACGGAAAAGATACCTTTTCCCGAACAAAAACACACCCAAGACAGCCCCCCAGATTTCTTCCTTTGAATCCTTTCTCTTCCCTGCATACCCGAGTACATAACTAGTATCTCGGCCACAGACAAGCTAAAATCACCTGACCTTAGCGATCCAATCCGAGCGCTGCGAGATGCGCGGCAAAAAAAAAAAAAAAAAAAAATTTAACACCGGACGTTAAAAAAAAGTATGGAGAGGGGAAAAAAAAAATAGCAATAAACACGCTCGGACTACCGGTAAACGAAAAACGTTATGGGATGGTATGGAGAATTTGAAAGACAAAACGATAGACAGGGGAGGCGGGGGTTGGAGAGAACACCAGACGAGAATACTGGTATGATATTAAAAAAAGAGAAGCAAAAGTTGGCCAACCCTCCATTGCCAACGCATGCATCAACTACCCCCCAAAAAAGAAAACACAAGAACTACCACCACCCATTCCTCGAACACAGAAGGGAAAGCAGCTATTGGCGACTCCACAAACCAAAACAACAAAATACAAAAAGCACTTCGGGAATGGCTTTTTTTTTGTTCATGATATCACATCAAGAGAGGTTGGTTAATATCCTTTCTTTCTTCCTCCCCCCCATTCCGCCCTCTCAACCCTGTTCTTCCGTCCTGCAGTTCCCCCGCAGAATCACGTCCCTCGCTTCTTTCATGCTTCCCTCAAGATTCCCTTTCCAGTTTCTCCGAATGCTCCCAAAACACCACGGTAGGAAAATAAATAAACGTATGTATAAAAAGCGAATCTGATGTAGGCGTGTACATTTGCGACGTGTTTCTTTTCATCTTTTTTTCTTTTTTATCTTCCAAGTAACATATCTCTTTTCTTGGTGGATTTTTTGTTTGATAGTCGTATCCTATTCGGTGACGTGATAAGAGGCCCTCCAACCCCGCCGCGTGTGCCCCTCCCCCACCAACCACCCAGAAAATTTCCCCGTCTATTCTTCCATTTGACCGAAGACACCGTCCTCGTCCTCTTCACTTCTCCCTCGCCTTTTCCATACCTCCTCCTCCTCCTCTTCCTCTTCCTCCTCATCATCATCATCATCCTCTTCCTCGTCCTCATCATCATCCTCTTCCATCATCACATTCCTTCGCTCTTCTAGATCTTCCATCCGTACATCATCTCCCTCTTCTCCTTCTTCCCTTTTCATCTCCACGACATCGTTTAACGGAGGTCCCAAGAAACCTGGCCTTCCGGAAACGGGTGGAGAGCTCAGCCCAGCAATTCCTCTCGGGACACTCCCTAATGGCACAGTGGGTCCCATAACTGGAGTGTTGAACGAACAGCTCAGTAGCTCGATGGCCGCAGCAAGCGCTTCATCTTCCGGAGTTATACTTGTCGGCCTGGTAGCCGGGGAAGTCATGTGTGATCCTCTAATATTGCCAGCAGAGCTCCCGGCACGTGGTCTTGAAGGCCGGTGATGAGGAAAGTGGTTAGGGAATGCTGTTGAATTGGGTGCGCTTCCTGCCAAGGCTCCGCTCCCGCTTGGAGCTTGATAAGACCGTGAATGTGACCCTGATGAATATCTCTTTCCTGGTTTGCCAGCTCCGTTACGGATCCCTCGGGGCGTAGGTAATGGGCTTGTTACATCTGATCCCGAAAACACTGATGGTGGAGGCGTAGTATCGTCTGAGCTAGATGAACTGTCATTTGTTGAGGAATTACCCTCGTTATTTGATGCACCCGACGATGAAGCCGGAGGGGTTGTTGTTGGGTTCATTGAAACTAATATTGAGGCTGCTTCGAGGAGTTGTACTTGCTGGTGCTTAGAAATGAGAAGCTTGGACGTGTAGGACCATTCGGGTGTGTGCTCCCATCTATATTACGGCCATGATATCAATACCTAGAAGCCAAAAACCAAAAACACGGCTCCCAGCTGCCCCTGAAGGATACGAAGGGTACGAAAGGATGATGCGGTCTAGCTCGGCAGCTAGACACACTTGAATTGGATATATATGTTCTGCCTGTTTAGGCTAGGGCCAGGGGGAAGCGAGATAGGGCAGAGAGTGGGGAAATTGAGAGATAAGTTCGGGAAGAGATGTCCAATGTTCACACAAAGTGTGGGGTAGGAGCAGTGAATTGTAGTTCTTGTTCTTGCGAAACCAAATAGGAAGGACGCGGGGGGGGGACAAACAAATGTTTGGTCAAACAAGAACTGTGCTTATACCCCTTCCCACACTTGTCACACTTGAGTTCACTCCCACTCCTTGCCCTAACCCTTCCCCCAACACCATCACCGGATTCCCCCAGATGAACATGAGCTCCCTCGCTTGCCCTCCTGCTCCGCGCTGGTCGACCAACGTCAGAGGCATGGCCCTCCGCAATTGCACTGTCACCACCGCTAACAAGGCTACCAACTTTTCTCGTAAACGCAATCCCCGAAACAGCTCCCCCGATACCCCCAACACCCCCACCCAGCGGACCGGTAGTAGGTAGACTACTCGGCGGACTCGGATACCCTTCCATCCCACCTCCGCAGGCGCTGCCATTCAAAATCTTCGTACTACCCGGGCTCCTCCCCAAGCCCATTCCTATTCCACTAGCCGGAACCGAAAGAGCAAATGGTGCCTCACCCCCATCTCTCACAGCAGCTTGTACGACCGCCGCGATATTCGCTCCGGACGTTGAGGACATGCTCTTCCTCCTGGTGATCCTATGGCTAGAACCCGATGACCCTAACGACGACCGATGATGCGAGGATGATGACGATGGAGGAGGAGTCTTTACGGGAACGTCCTTGATGTGTAATGCCGGAGGTCGATTCGGTGTCGATGGTGGATGGTAGCGAGAGAGCGAGTCCTAATTTGTTAGTTAGAACCCTTCATTATCCTCTCTAAAAACCTTTTTACCGGTCTTTTTTTTCTCCCTTCTCCAGTCGTTCGTTTTCTTTCCCCGCAATCCTACTAATCTTGGGAGAACACTGAACGATGAAATAAAATAGAGATGAAAGGATAAGCTTTTGCTCAGTCCGTACCTTTGTAGCTGCCATTATCCTCTTCTTCTATGGTATTGTTTGGTAAGTGAGTAGATAGCTCCTGATTTGATACTTTTTTTCCTCTTCCTCCCCTTCTTTCCCCCGGTTATTTTTTGTGTTTCCTCCCTCTGTCCGTCTGTGTGCGTAGCGTACAATATTATCCAAATCCCGCAACCGGAGTTGAATGATGCTTGCTGCTTTTACTGATCGCTCTTTCCCTCTCAATAGTGCACTCTTT